TATTTGGATGACCCAATCTTCTCAGGAGGATTCCTTGGCTCTAAATGGCCTTAGGTCATTAAGTCTTTTGTGGATAATTTCTGGACATACAAGCCAAATGACAGCATGGCAGAATTTAGGTACGAACCGGAGATGCCAAAGAAAATCTAGTTCTCATTTAAAGGAAATTCAATCCCCCTGTGATAGTAAGCAAGGGGCATTAATAAATATTCAAGGGAGATGCTGAGGGCTATGAAGTGACTGTGTTAGATCATGTACAGACAGAGGTGGGTTCCTACCGGTTCGGACTGGTTCGGCCAAGTAGGTAGTAACTCGGCTGCCCACGCTCCCGAACCAGTTCTATCGGCAGTGCCACAGGCGGCGCTAGGTCTTATTTTTTGCTTCTGCACATGCGCAGAAGCAATTTTTTCACTACTGTGCATGTGTAGTGCATACCAAGCACACATGCGCCCGAAGCACATCCCTGAGCGAACCAGCAGTAAAAGAATCTGGAACCCACCCCTGCATACGGGTGAGGCTGGGCTTTGGACATTGTTGCTTTAAGACCTATAGCAGTGATGGTGAACCTTTTCGGTCTTGGACAGGGATATCAAACTCAAGGCCTGCAGGCCGGGTCTGGCTTGTGGGGTGCTTAAATCTGGCCTGTGGGAGTGGCCTGGAAATATCAAAGGGGTTTGCCAGAGCCTCCGCACGGCGTGTTTTGTGCCGGTGGAGTGGTTCTGGAGGCCTGGGAGACTGAAAATGGGCCATACGTAGGCCTTGTGGGGTGTCCACACAGCCCATTTTTGGCCAGCAGAGTGTTCTGGAGGCCGGGGAGTACTGCAGAAAGAAAGAAGATAAGGGGGAAAGTGCATGTTGAGCCTATGTCAAATGCCCACCATGTCCATGCCCACCATTACCACATCCACCATGACCACGCCCCTCATTTTAACCCTGGGTTACAAATATTCTCCTTAATTGCTGTTTTATTTCATAGTTAATATTCTGGATTGTAGTTGATAGGCTGTGATTTGTTGGTTAATGGTCTTGAGGTGCCTCTAGCACAGCGGTTCTCAACCTGTGGGTCGTGACCCCTTTCACAGGGGTCGCCTAAGACCTGTAGGGCCTAGAGTCAATAACTGGAGAGGGGAATTAATTCACCTAATGTTAGCCAACGGGAGCATTCTCCAACCTTGGTGTGGAAAGGGTGGCATTTTGCAGCGACAGCCTCCGCACCGTAAACAGTTGGTTTCCGGTGCTTTCTGGGAAGTATGGCCTTGAGGCGCTCCTTTCGCCTGTCAAGATGCCACTGGCTCCGGGATTAGTCGGTCACATGTCACCTGCCCAGTTCTGCAGCGGCGGCCTTCGGGTGTAGTAGACATATGGCGGCGAGGGGCTTGAAGAAGCAGGTCCACTTTGCCCAGTTGGAAGAAGAGGAGGGAGTGCGAGAGCCCTCGGCAACGCCACTGGGGAGGATGTGGCCACTGGAGATTCATCGCCTGGAAGCTCGGCGCTGCTCGCCCTTCAGCTGATAGTAAAGGTGGGCAATGGCAGCGGGCGAAGAAGCCAGGCAGGTGGTGGCCTTGGGGTGGGAAAGCTGGCAGCGGCAGTGGCGGCTTCCTGGCGGGCACTGAAGTGGTGCATTTCAGCTGCTCTTTGCGCCACTTTCCTGGGCCTGATAAGGAGGCGGGAAAGCTAGGCGGGTGAATGAACTGGGCAGCGTGTTGAGTTACAGCCAGCTTTGCTCCATGATGACCCCGCAGGTGCCTTGCCCTTATGGTCCAGCCCGCAGCTTCCTGGGAGCAGCGAAGAAAGTCCAGGGTTAGGCGCTGCCCTCTGGCGCCCTTGAAAGTGTCGGCAGACCCAATTGAGCTGCCCCGCTGCTGAGAGATCCAGCGGGGATCTCTCTGACATCCTTAAGAAGGAAACGTTGCCCTGCTGGAATAGGGACAAATGGAAACCCTTCGCCTCTTGGACTGTACAGGTAGTCCTCGACTTACCCGCCCATACTTGGGCCCAACATTTATGTTGCTAAGTGAGAGGATTGTTGTGGGTTTTGCCCCATTTTACCATTTTTCTTGCCACATCTGTCAAGTGAATCACTGCAAGTTAAGTTAGTAACACTGTTGTTAAGTGAATCAGGCTTAACAATTCATAACNTGTCTGTCTGTCTATCTATCTATCTATCTATCTATCTATCTATCTATCTATCTATCTATCTATCTATCTATCTATCTATCTATCTATCATCTATTCTTCCTTCCTTCCTTCCCCACCCTCCGCACTGTTTTTCTTTCCCTTCCCTCCCCAGTTTGTAGGTGGGAAAAGAAATATTGAGGCTCTGCTAGTTATATATGAAGTTCTCAACCAGAATTGCCTCCCCCATCCCCCACATCCCCACTGCAGATGTCTCTGGAAGCATGTACTTCTAATACAACGTGCACTTCAGCTCTCCAAGTTTTCAGGAACAGAAATTTGCAATGTAAGGACAGTGCTTGTATTTTAAAAATGGAGATCAATTTATATTTTGCTGTGCTAGAATGGAAAAAAAACCTAATTATGGAATTATTAATGGAAGTGATAATATGAAGATACTGCAAATTGAATGGAAAGGATAAATAGTTGCTTATTCATTGATTTTAGAGAATTAACATTCCAGAAGGATGCAATCCAGACACTGTAATGTTGAAAAGCAGAATTTTTATGGATTTTTGATTGCTTCTTTTCAACAGCCTCAATTTGGGGGGTGCAGTAAATGGTCATCTACTTTTGCCAACTCAAGCTAGGCCCTGTGCTCAAGCTGCTGCAAATTGTTCCATGGTAATGTTAGGGCGGGGCGCTGCCTTGTATTGTTGACCATCTGAGTTACTGTGGGCACCCATCCAGGGGTGAAATTCAGCAGGTTCTACAGGTTCTGGAGAGTGGTGGGTTGCACTTACCATCACTACCAATTCGCTGATCACACTCATGTTCCCTTCGCACGCATGCATGCCTGACCTGCGCTGTAAGCACATGCGCAATCCACCAACCCTGCAAAAACCAGCTGATTGTCGGGGCTCGTGCAGGTGCCGCACGCTGTGCACGCATGCACAATTTTCCTATAGCCATAAAAACAGGTATAGAGCACAGGTGGGTGGGCCGGTTCTACCACAAAACCGCGGACGACAAAATCGCGGTCGACGAAAGCGCGTATGTGACGTCATCACAGCGCGACGAAAAAGATAGAAAAAGATCGAAAAATGTAAAAATAAAGCTAAAACCTTCCCCTAACCCCCCCCAAACCTAACCCTTAACCTAACCCTAGACCTAACCCTAAACCTAACC